GGGTAAAACTCACACAACTACGGTGGGCATCTTACGTGTTACCCACCTTATGGTCTTACGTGTCCGTTGTGGTCTGCATTGTACAGATATAATAAAAAAATTAACACAAGTTGGCATACTAATTCGTTTCGCTAATTTAATAAGAGTCATCGCGATCACTGCAAAGATGTTGGTATATTTTGGGATAGGATCGAAGAAAATCTTATTGATACAGCAATTAAAGCTAAGGGAAAAGAACTACGATTGACCGAGGTCAGTTCCTGAACATTTTCTTCGATTTTCTTGTCTATATTGAATGTCATTTTTGGTTGCAGATTGGTGTGGCCTGTTCCGTGATGAATAGTACCTCGACGGTACTTCAAACTGCTATTAGAAGGGTCGATACGACGTTGGTAAGGATAAGTGGAATGGTGAAGGATCAAAAAAAAAACAATGATTACTTACTCCGTTGCATGTTATTACAGAAGAGTATTGGAAAACGTTCATCAGAATCGATGATAGATAATGATACTACGGGTTCAGCCAGTATTAAGAAGGTCAGTAATGATAATAATTCTGCATAAATATTCCTTTTCGACCCTCTTCTTACCCTGTTGGATACCCACACAGGTTAAAAACACAGGTCCCTCCGCAAGTGGTGATAACAAATCACAAGATCTTGATGAGCATGACACATCACTTATTGAGGCTATTGAGGCTAACTCAGAAGGGAGCGTTGAGGATGAACCTAAAGATACATATAATACTCCATCACCGTGCCATTTTTCTTTAATTAGCTCAGAGAGTGAATCTGACGAAGATTATAAATCGGATAAGGAAAATGACTCATTCTTTAAAGATATAAACACAATTTCATTTGACGATTATTTAAATCAAAATAAGACAGAATCCGAATGGAGATTAAGAGATGGTCGTCTGATTGTTGAAGTTCTTAACACTAAGACCGCTGAGGTAGTAAAACTAGTTTCGGAAAAAGAACAAACACAATTTATGAAAAGTGTTATCCGGTAATGTTCTCTTATTTTCTTGAAATGGATTATTAATAAGAAGAATTTCTAACACAGTAAATACAGATTAGGACTTTCTTCGATTATTGATTTGTCTTCTGAGTTCAAAGATGGAATGTATACGTGGTTTGGGCAGGAATGGATAGATATTAAAAGAAAGGTCTACGGAATTGTTAATATGGAACCAAACATTTTTGAAGTTGAGATAACAAATGTTATTGATACTGTCGAAGAGGAAAGTAGCTACTTATTGACTTCTGCGCATATACACATGTTGTCTTATTATGTATTTACACGTCTATTTCGACCATTCTCAGATGTGCGATAGGTACCAATATAATGAAGCTCGTGACTATTTATATAAGATTAGAACTAGCAATCATCCTCAAATAGTAAAGCAAATAGCTATAATATATTTCTACGTGTAAGTTACAACTAAAATATTTTTCTACGTGTAAGTTATAAAAAAAATTTTGAGATTATGTACTGATATTGTTAAATTTATTGTTAGGATTGATGAATTTTTAAAAAATCCGTTCATATTTGTAGACAAAACAGGAAAGTATCAGGAGCTTAGTGAGATTGAATACGCAATGACTATGACTGCGCCAGTGATGAATAATATATTTAGTGATGTCTTGGATTATCTGAAACTTCGCTGGTAAGACCAACCATCATCACTATTATCAATATTTGTATGAGCAATGACATTTGATTTCATACTTGTATATAGGGGGGAAACATTGTCTAGTGCCACGTCTGATCGTCGTCGAAAAATTGATTTAAGAATTGTTCATAAAGTTAAGAAGCTCGAACTCGGTCATTCCGAATGTGCGAAAGCTCCTACTCCTGCAAAAGCCGTGCATGACCGTTCAAAATGTTTACGAACATTGAAAGGTGTTCTTGATAATTTTTTAAAAGAAGATTTATCGGATGAAGAAGTTCAGGATTCAAAAATATTAGGAATTCAGTTTTCTGGTAAGGTCTATTGATTCGTGTCAACAAATAATATATAGTTAACGTTTTGATCATTACATAAGGCCTGAATGGTCAGATTATAGGTGTAGATCTTCTTGAGGATGGACTATATTTCGGACTGGAAGGATCAACTTTCAATTTTCCGGCACAACTTACAAATATCAAATGTCTTCGTGGCGCACTGGAGACCTTATACTTTTTCAAAGTAAGATACAAGCATTCTGTTATTGGTTATAATAATCCTTATTTATCCTTTTTACTTTTTCTATACTTTAGCAAAACTTTGTTAAGAAAGCGAAGTTAATACCTGATCCAAAAACTTTAATCACCCATATAATAAGATATTTCATTCAGGTGCTTTATCAGAAGCAAAACATTTCAAGATTAAGTTTATCCGAAAAACGCATTTTACTCCAAGAGAAAAAAGAAATAGTCGTACTCAAGGTTCTGATTGAGTTTTGTCGAAAGTAATTATGATGACATATGGTAGTGATTTCTTAAAATGAGATGAAAGAGTCCTTTGGACGAGAAATTATATAAAGGTAGTAATGAAATAACGCTTACTGTTAGTATATATGTAATCTTTGATAAAAGTTGCACGGATAATGATGCGATGTGAGATACTGCGCCTTTGTGACACGCGTGTCACAGAGATTCAATTAAAAAATTTTGTCCCACTTTTCACTGTGTAAGAAAATTAAGTATTGACATCGCTATACTATTTTTAAAATCCGAGTAATATATAATATAGTTATTATACTTACCTCATCGGGAGATGATCTAATGCATAGAACCAGTGTTGAAAATTTGATGTTCTCAGTGTTCTCAGAGAACACAAAATTATTTTTGAGAACATTGAAAATTATAAAATGTTCTCTTATTTGAGAACATTTTAATGGAGTCGAATGTTCTCAGTGAGAACACACTATTTATATTTTATGTTCTTGTTAATAAAAATTCTGCGCACATGATATGATGCGTGTAGTTCTAAAGATGAAATTTCACGTGGTGTACATAATAATTGCTCGTTATAATGATACACATGTTCTATTTAGGCGTCAACACCCGTCACATGCTTTATTGATAAGTAACTAGCTAATCTATCACTATAGCATGTATGCCTTTTTTCAAAATACGATTTGGAAATTGCGCATTAAGTCCGGGCTGACCTTCTTCTCAAGATGACTTGGAAATGCACAATGACCAAGGCTGATAATCTGGCAACAGGATGAGAGCTGAAGTATGATGCAAACCATTTATACTCATCAAAAATGTAAATCAGTCCGAAATTTTAAATGATGATATTCACGTGTCCTTATTTACATAATTAAATTTTATTGGCTAATATACACGTGCCTTTAGTCACATGATTTAACATTATTGGTTAATATGACTCGTAACATACTCATCCTTTCAAGGGAGATGCACAAACTTGATATTATCAAGATTTTCTATACAATTTTTAAAGTTTATTCATGGCAAAAAAGGCATGGATTTTAAGCACTGTTCATGATATTTTATTGAATTTTATTTAGCACAAAAACAAATATTACAAAGTTTGGGTATTATCTAATTTATCTAACTCTTCAAGAATGCTATCTGGAATTCTTCTGTGAGATTTATACTTTTTTACGGCATATTCTACTAATTTTTCACTAAAACCTTTCCTATAAAGATCTATATAATGCCAGCACTTTCTTGAAAACCTCCTAATAGTTATCAAAGATACTGATTTGAGACTTTTAGATACTGTTCTTTATAATCCCTCTCATGAATAATCACATTTGTTACATGAGTATCTTTTGGTGGTCCCTCAATATCTCTCAATAAAATTTAACTCGCAGTGAAATTTTGGGAAGAAGATGCATTTATATCCTGCATTCTCGATTAATTCTTCAATTATACTTTTTTGAGCAAGAAAATTAGGCTCTAAAGACATTACTCGACATGCACAACAAGAAACTCTTAAAGCATTTCTGATCTTTTCTCTGCATTTTTTACATTCTAATACTAATTCTTTTGATAGCCATTTTCCTTGTTCTATTAATACTTGCTTAATTCCTTTAGAAATACCTTGAAGTTTCTCATCTAAATATATTTCTAAGAAGACCATTGATTATAACTGATTATTTGGTCCAAAAGAAGTATCACGCATGAATAGTTACTTTTCATCTGGACTTAGATTCATCCTACTTGTAATTAAAGTATCTTTGCTAAATGCAACGTGATTAGAACTGTTATCAAAAGCAAATATAACCACACAATTCAGATATAATGTCTCAAAAATTGGAATCACTTTATATTTAATTTGCTCAAGAAGATGTTCTGCTGTCCAATAACTGTCTTGATTTATATCAGATCTTAAATAATATCATACTACTTCTGGTATATCAGAATATTTTTCTATATTATCTTGTTGTAAGCGCAGATATCTATCAATTTCAGTTAGAAATTCATCTCACCCCAACCCATCACCGCTGGAGCAGATATCAACACACTGCACACCAAACATGCCTGAATTAATGACATGGTGCAGATGCTTGCCAGTACCAAAGCTGAGAGTAGTGCGCTAACTGAGACACAGGTCTAGAAATTTGACATCCTGCACTGAGAGCCGAGTATGGCCCAATAATATCAGATCAATCCAGCTTCCGCCACAAGTACTGTGATGAATGTGATCAATAGATGCGCCAGTATCAGATGGGCAAGCCAAAGCAGGACATGCCCTAAGCCTTGCAGCAGGCCTATCAGCAGGCCACCCCATATGCTAGGAACCAGAAATTGTGGATTTAGCTTAAAGTTTAAAAGCTATGGGTACTTGTATTGAAGGAGAGACATCCAACCCTCGCAGTTACATAAATTGATAAAAATAATCCTGCCATAGTCTCATCATTATCCACACCTTGACCAACCCACCTCATATCCTTTATTTTCCAGTTATCACTATAATTGATACGCAATTCTGAGATACTCTTGCCAACTGACTTGACATCGCTGAGATTACTTAATAATAAGCACCAAATGCGCTAATCATAATTGATCTTCTATTTCCTTTTTTTCTTAATAGCAAATTTTCATTCTCAGTTCACATGCCGCATTTGCCATCATTCAAATAAAAAATATATTCATCATGAACTACAAGGACTCTCTCTTTCTCTCCTTCAGATAAGCTGAGACATATCTGATTCATAAATTCATCTTCATATTTTGACATGTACTCCTCATGCTCATATATTTTTTCTAAAAATTCTTTTTGATATTGTAAGATATCATTTCTTTCATGCTCATCATAATATATATCTTGATGATGTTGTTGGAATAAATAACTAAGAATCTTGAGCTATCTTACTGCAGTCGTGAGACCAATAGTTTTTTTTTTCATTATTTCAATATTAGAAAACAATTCATACTTAACAAATTTTTTAAATGTGGCTGGCATGGCACTGAAATTTTGGTTTCTAATCCAAACATGACACCTCTTTACAATGTCTTCATCATCAACTATCCTAATTATTTTTTGGTGTTTTCCATATTTAGATATTAGAAGCTTATCATTAAGCAATTAATACTTTGTAAGATACTGAATTTTTCACGCTTTTCACATACCACTGCCAATAAAAATCTTTTAGATAACCTTCAAACTGATATTAATTCTTCCATATTCATTATTATCATTTAACAAGATAAGATATTCAAAAATGGCTCTTTTATGATTATCATCAGAAAATTTTCGAGAGCACAGTTTTGCGCAGATCTTTAGGTCCAAAATCTGCGTAAATTTTTGAACCTGGTGACAATTGGTAAAGAAAAAAAAATTAAAAAATCTGTGCAGATCTGTAACAAAATGTAGGTCTGCGCAGATTTTTTAATTTTTTTTTTAAAATTCTGCGCAAAACTTTGCAATGTCAGTTTCA